GCGAGACAACCCCAGTAGCAGTTGATCGTAAATCAAACAAAAAATGTAAAATGTCATTCGCATGGTATTTATGTTAGCATGACAGGTACTAACAGCTGTCTGACATGGTTTTGATGTCATGTGATGATTGCACTTGGTGTACGGTTTGGTTTTATTTTGTTTAACGTCCTATTACCAGCTAAGGTCATTTAACGACGTGCCTCCATGTGTGTTGTGTAAGCGTGCATGTGTGTATGTTGGTGTATTTGCCTTTTGTGATAGCGCGGATCTGATTTTAAAAAGCTATATCAATAAAATACCATGCTAAAGGCACCCAGCATATTATGAGTGCTTGTCTCATAATGAGCAGGTTCGGCTGGACTTAAGTTGTGTATCGAGCTCCCTGGCTTTGTAACAGTCGTAGAGCAGTAAGAAACAGTGTCGGGACAAGTTATGTACTGCATGCACTGGAGCTTTCCCTGAGTTTCCATGTAAAGGAGGTGTTTACAAACATGGCAGACTATACAAACATGGCAGACTATACAAACATGGCAGACTATACAAACATGGCAGACTATACAAACATGGCAGACTATACAAACATGGCAGACTTCTGTCGGTGAAGCTGTGACTGAAATAATAGGATGGGAGAAAAATAATCATCCCCTACCTTGAGGGTGTAACAGAGAAAATCCAGCCCTCGGGGTGATTATTTTGGTTGTCTAACCCTCGGGTTAGACATACAAAAAACATCATCCCTCGGGTTGGAGATTTCCCTGTCACACCCTCAAGATAGGGGAAGATTCTATTAGTCTTCCAATTCAGTAAGACACTTCTTTGAACATTTTGATCTGACATTTTGAAGAGCTTCCCGAATGTCACAGTTTACATTGTAATACTTGACAAAAAAATCATAACTGTTTGTACTTTCACTGGACCCAGCCACGAATCCTTTCATACGAGACTGGATCAAAGGTGAACATGAAACATCGTTAACCTGAACATTTTCTAAATCGTCAAAATCATTATCGTTATCGAGTCACTGTCACTGAACCCACCTCTTGCTTTTGAGTTAATTGAGTTATTCCCTTCCAAATCCGGTAGGAATTCCTCCAATGTGGCCTGTATTTCTTCCTCCAACTCTCCAGAACATCCAACGAGAGGAAAATTACTAAACACACCATGGTTTTGAATAACTAGCCCATTTTACATTACGTGTACGACTACAACGTTTACATTCGCCAATGACAGATTCACTTCCGGTGGGTGCATTCGTTTTGAAAATTGGAAGCCCCATTGTGGGGAACCAGTGGATATCAAATCAAAATTTGTTTAAATCAAAGAAATTAGTATATTATCTTTAAAATGAGTTATATGAAGACTAATATCCATTTGTTATAAGCAGGCGAGCAAGGATAGCGGCGGAAAATGATGTCGTATTTTTTTTTGAAAGACGTCATGCGGAATTCCCTTTTTTCTCCATTTTCATTGGCGACGTCGTAATGACCCTTTTGTAAATTCTTGTCTCATATGTCATAGTCTCATAGTCTTTCACGTGCATAGAAACGCACCCATACACGGAAACTTAATAATGAGATTTGATAATTAAACCGTAATTATTGTTTTCACACAAGGTGTTATAACTAGCGGACTATCTAAAAGGTAGGCATCAGCGTTAGTCGTGTGTTTATCAGATATGATGCCTGTTCAGTAAAGACACACTGTTACACAAGCTGTATGTACGGTAACGGGTTGTTTCGCCCTGAATCTCGTTCGCTCTAAGGTAGCAGAGTACAGTAGAAATTGCTTGACCCTAAAAATAAAGGGCATGTCTCGGATAAACATGGATAGCGGATTCATCCTGCACAACACATCTACATATATATATATTCATTCTGTACATTCGCATCCATGTTGATATGAATATGTAGTTTGAATGACTTCCGGCTGTGGTGACGGTTTGACAGTCGGGTGATACATGTTCATGTATCAATGATTGATCACAGTCACTCGTGTATGTAAAATTCCTAATGAACTCAGATTTACTTGCAACATGTTTGTATTGGTCATGGAAAATAGTCCCCTTCCCAATCACTCCTGCTGGTCGGGGATCGACGAAAGAATAAACCTGCTCTTATCCGCTGCATGTATCGTAAGAGGCGACTAATGTAGGACCCCCCGCAGAACTAGGGTTTTTATTTTGTCCTCCACTTGGGGACACTAAAGCGACCCAAATAAATCTGCTGCACCCAATGCAATATTTGGAATTTTTAATTTCTTTCTACTTCTGACTACCTTTTTATTTCCTAGCGGCTATTTTGGCAATACCTCTCTTTTGGCTTTAATGTCGAGCGTTCGCCCTGGTGAGAAAGGCAATGGGTTCTGCCCCCAGGCCAGAACATACCGAAATCATTAAAGATGGTAGTTGGTATTTCTTCTGCTTTACGTTCAGCATTTCGGGGAATGGCAACAGCTGGTTCAACCGTTGACAGTATAATGTGCCGGGCCAAATGAGATAGCACCATAAAGTCGGCATCAGATTCGTGCTACATCGTATCACAAGGAGGCAAATACAGCAACACATCCTGTCTCTGGCACACATACACACGATAAAACCCTATAACACCAAACTGTTCCCCAACGTTGGATTTGCAAATTGGTCATATATTATACTGTAGAGTTGGTAATTTTCGAAGGAAATTATATTTTTTGCAATCACCAAAATAGTGCGAAAAATAAATACCATGCGAATACTAATACTATGGATGTTCAAAGATTATCAAAAGGTCCTGTTTATCCTTTTACTGTCGAATAGTTGAGACCTATTCAAAATCGTATTTGATGTTTTTTGGATAAATCACTTATTAAAGGAGTCTCATCATCCAAACAAAAAGGTTCCCTCGTTCGCGCTTTTTTTTTCTTGCTTTTCAATGTTGCAGACAATATAATCCCCACGACGTATGTCTGATTGGGACAGACACGAACTATTAGCTCAGCGAAACCTTACAGTACATAAGTGAAAAAATTCAATCAAATAATACAGTGTTTCCCTGGCATTAAACAATTATTTTTGTTTAGTTTATCTCCATCTGATACCACTTCACGAAGTCCCTTTTTCCGAAAAATAGAGTAAAATGAAAACAAACCACATCAACAGTTAATGTTGTCTCCAGAGAGACACGAGTGGCTTCAGTGTGTACTGGAGGACCAAAACGCAAGTGACTGGCTGGGGGGTTAGGGTATTGAATTTATCGAAATTCCTCGCCGTGACATGAAAAACGTAAAGCAAAACGTATGCAAAGTTATGGGTAGCAACATCTTTGCTCTGGTCGATTTCAGGCCAAGACTGCGATAGTATAGATGTTCTTGTGATTCTGATAATTGAGTTACGTTGTCAAATGATGTTTCCTATGTGTTTATGATCTTGTGAATTGCATCGGCGTAGAATAAATTGTGAACGCTTTGGCTAATTATACCATCGCAATCATTATTTGAAGAAAATAAAATGATAAAGAATATAAGTAAGCATTCATATGTATACCATTGAAAGATATGTTGATGAAATAAAAATTAATAACTATATTAGTTTTCCAGTAGGAATCTTAATGATTAAAAGAACATTTTAAGTGTGCAAATTTGATGGAACTTGAGTTCTATATTGTTAATACTCTTACAAACACAATTTTTTTTACAAAAAAAATGAAATATCATTTTTTGGAAGCAGATTAACAGGTAAATGGTAATTTGTGAAAAAAACAACTCCACATATAGCCAATTGTAAGATATCATTTTAAAGATAATTGTATATGCCTTTTCAATATAAAAGCAGATTGTGATATCATTTTTGTTAATATCCACATTAGCCCCATTAAAGACACATGGGGAGGTGACATTCTATAACATCATTGTAGGATGCGCTACAGTCACACTAATGATCCAGATGAAGTTTAAACTTTGTTTTGATATGTTATCTGTTCAAATTGATTGATTTACACTTAAAATTCAGAAACATATCGTGGGCCGATTTTCACCGTCTATGCAACACATCCTTTGTTCGAAATTGATGTTTTCTTTAATCCTTACATATTCTAAGCTATTAAGTTTTGGTTTGATGTATTAATTATCGTGAATGTGTGTTTTCACAGTATTGTTGGCCATAGATGACTCGAATTGTCGATGGGCCGTTAAACAATACAAAAACAAAACAAATAACCAACCCAAGGGAACTCAAGTTATCACTCGAAAACCTTGTTTCGGACGACGCAACCTACGACACAAAAATTGTAATCGATAAATTATGTCAGAAATAAAGTAGAACAATTACACAAACTCATAGCAAACCAAAGCAATGTCACCTTTTGGTGACGTCAAAGTATTAAACAAACATGACGACACAATCAATGTTCAATGGGAGAGCTAACACATGTATGTACGGATCAAGGAAACAAATTAGATTACAAATGCTGGTACCGATTATTTTGAGACATATTAAGAATCGGTTCGTAGTATGTAGTAATGTCAGGGAGATCTTAAACCTAGGGATGATTTCATTGAATTTATAACTACTACCATTGGCACAAATGCAATCCATGGTTTAAACAATCAATGATACTGGTATCAGACCTAAAGTTAATTTATGTGTCACAACGAAGTTAGATTTCCTTCATCGGGTTCTCTAAGCAACTAAACACAAGTTAACTTCATAGACTTTTTCATTTAATAACAACAAATACTTGATATCAACGATCAAATATAAAATCGGCTGCAGGCGATCGATAACTGCTTAATTGAGTGTTAACAAAATATGAATAATTTTGAGAACACAATTTTAGCATGTACAGTACACAATTTTACTGTTACATAATCTTTTAAAACAACCGATCTAATAGTATTGTCAATTAAGAAACAGGCTTTTATAACATTTTTTCTATTAGAGATCTAGTGTAAAACGCCCGGTGAATTTCCCTCCTATCGCAGTCACATACTTTTAGCTTTATTAACTGACAACACAAACAAGTGCATATGTACATGAATAAATATGTATTTATTATCTTATTCGTTAATCAGGAAATTCCGCAATACAGTTTGGATCACCCCTTTATTAATATGGTTTTGTATCCAGGTAAATCTTACAAAGCGTCCTGAATATGCGTTCTCCTAAACGTTAAATATTTGTCATCAATAAACCGGCAACACAACATGCAACACCTCCAATCCCACTTGTTATTAGGCTATCAGAATGGATTTTTTAACGGGTGTTCCTCTTTTCCATAAGACACCAAGGCGTGATTTTTACGTCACAAGTTATGTGTACGTTGATAAAGGTGACTTGTGTTCCATTGATCAGTGTTGTATTTCTACTTTCTACGGTATATCGTGTATTATTCAACCCGGATGACACATCCATACGTCTTTTTATCTGTCAGNAAAAAAAAAAAAAAAAAAAAAAAAAAAAAACCCGAATAAATATAACGTGTCTTAAAACAAACAAACGACGTGATGATAATACATTGTAAGAATACAGACAGACATAGTTCAAGATATATTTCAAATAAATCAATTAAAGCTGAAAACATAACTGTTGGTTCAGCACACAAGTGCAAAATTGGACTTCATATTCTATAAGCAAAAACAACAAGAATAACCACTGATGCTTCAAAATAAAACAAAATACAACATGTACTTTCATGGTCAAATTTGTTACCCAAACACATGGATTTCATATGAGGAGTTCTGCAACGGCACAATACTTTTTTCAACTCATAGCTCAACCATTGATAAGCTAAGTTTTGTTAGGTTAAGCGTCATAATAGCGACTGTAAGGTCGATCAATGCCAGAATTAACGAAATATAGGCAGCATAGCAACAAGCATACCAAACAAGAGATTATTTTCCTTCATTTTTCAAAAATTAGAACATAGTATTAGCAAGAGATCCGAGAGGATCTTGGCGCCCATCATCGTATCATCTTCATTAGTTCTATGTCAGTTCGACCTTGTCTCTTCTTTTCTCTGATTTGTTTGATCAAGTTTTGTAAACAGTAAATGCACATTGAAGTAACTCTTGATCTAAACCTCATACTGGCGGAATGCTGTGCAGGGTGCCTTTGACATGGCATTTCAGGGAGATAGCACTATAAAGTTGGCATCAAATCCGCGCTATCACAAGAAGACAAGTACTCCAACATACCCTATCTCCTGCATACACACACGCAAGCACGCATGTACCTCACACATGGAGGCACGTCGTCAAATGACCTTAGCTGTTAATAGGACGTTAAACAAGATTAAACTGAACCAAACCAAACAACCTTCAAAATGAATTTGTCGTTTCACATGCATCACTAGGACAGTACTTAATGTGAAAGAAATAGAACCGATCATTTCAATAGGATAAAGATACTTCCTGGGAAATAATGATGATATATTTTAAATGTCAAAATCCAACATGACCGTTTGTGGCCATATTGTTTTTTCTCAATCAGTTTCAAAATAATACATGCACAATTATGGACCAAGGGAGATATGCAATTTGAGAAATATCTGTAAATCTCTTTTTGAAGAATGAACGATTACAAAACTTTTTATGTTCCAAGATTGCAGCCTTGGGGCCATGTTGTATTACAGATGGGTCTCAAAATGAAACATGCACAACATGTGACCAAGGGGAACCATAATATGAAATTTGAGAAAGATCCCTCCAGTACTTTCTGAGAAACAGCGATAATAAACTTTTACTTTCAAAATCCAAATTAGTCGCCTGTCAACGATTTTGTTATTTATTTCATCATTTTTAAAAGGACGAAAGGAAACCTACATATCAAATTTGAGAAAGATCCTTCCAGTACTTCCTGAGTTATAGCAATAATAAACCTTAATCAAAAGTAAAGTTGGCTGCTGGTCAGCCATTTTGTCTAAACCAATCAGTCTAAAAACCATGACTGCAAATCTAGCGATAAAGGTGAACCTACCTATTAAATTGGAGAAAGATTAATCCAGTACTTCTTCGGAAATAAAGATAAAGAACCTTAACTATCAAAATCCAAGATGTCCATTTTGTTTATCCATTCACTCTCAAAACATCCCATAAGAATTTTCTGAGAAATAGAGATAACAAACGTTCACTGTCAAAGTCAAAGATGTCGGTCATTTTATTTATCCGATCAGCCTCAAACGCTAACATGCACAACAACAGATCAAAAGTAACCTTCGTATCAAATTTGAGAAAGATCAATTTAGCACTTCCTAAGAAATGGCGATAACAAACTTTCAAAGTTTAAGACAGTAGCCTTCTGGACATTTTTTTTATTCGATCAGGCTCAAATGAAAACATTCACAACTATAGATCAAGGGTAACTTATAAATCAAATTTGAGAAAGATCCCTCAACCCCTTTATGAGAAATATAGTTAACAGACTTGAATTGCCAAATCCTAGATGGCCACCTGTCGGCCATTTTGTTTATCCGATCAGTCTCAAAATTGAACCTGCACAACAACAGATCAATGGAAACATACATAGCAAGTTTGAGAAAAATCCCTTGCAACCTTTAACTGTTCAAATCTAAGATGGCCACCTGTCGGCCATTTTGATTAATCGATCAGTCTCAAAAGTAAACGACTACAAACTGAATGAAATTTGAGAAAGATCCTTCCAGTACTTTCTGAGAAATACCAATAACAAACATTCACTGTCAACATCCACGATGGCCACATTTCGGTCATTTTGTTTATTCAATCACTCTTTTAAAAAAGTTAACATGCACAATAACGGGCCAATGGGAACTCGCATATGAAATTTCAGAACGATCCTTCCATTGTTTTCTGAGAAAAAACGATAACAAACAGTCACTGTCAAAATCCAAGATGGCTGTCTTTTGGCCATTTTGTTTATGCGATCAAAAAGTTAACATGCACAACTAAGGACCAAAAGGAAATTTGAGAAAGATCAATCCAGTTCTTTCTTAGAAATAGCGATAACAAGAATTGTTTACGGACGGAGGAACGACAAAGGGACGGACCACGGACGGCAGAGCGATTTGAATAAAATATAAAATAATGATTAATGTGATCGCAAAAGGCGCCTTATATGGGACCCTCTGCAAAATGGGAGTTATTCTTATTCAAATTCTATAGGTCACCTTACGATCATGTAACCTTTGTCATTTCCCTTTCTGCTGGTAAGCCCTTTATCAGGATAGTGTAACCAGGAAGGGATGTCGTGTTTCTGTGTCTACGTTATGAATTAAATGAGTAAACATAAACTGAATGGCCTTATTGTCGATATACATGTATACCGTTTTTAAATTACCTTAATTGCTAGAACGCTTAACCGTAAACAAAAGAAGCCTTGCGTTGGTCACACGCTAAACCGTAAACAAGATAATCCATGCTTCGGCCACACGAATTTCGTCCAGTTAAAACCTACCTGTCCATAAAAATCCATATTTATTGTATTCATCTATCAATTAGAACTATTCTGTTGTTTTCTTCTACAACAAAACGATCCTATCAATTCGGTCTATGTATTTGTTTTTGTTAAACATGGAATAAGCATTATCAATTTTGCAGAACAAATAAGTAGAGTACCTGTCTATAAACACATGTTCCTAAAGAGAACGCAATAATACTTACAAACTAAAAAGTCACTCTAGTTTTAAGATATCGGGCTGTCCTTCGTCAGGGATTAAATGTCACCGGACCTGTACGTGACATCCATCTTGACAAACAGGATGACCAACTATGACGTTGATATTGATGACGTCATAACACTGGTACCATGACGTCAACACAACACAATGACGTTATTAAAACATGACCTCACAAATTGTGACGTCATCATCATCATCTATTGATACTATTGGGGAAACCAGTGTTGAGTCTGTTCTTGCTGGTTTTGATTCCGTCCTAACCCTTTTTCTAGTACGCACAACCACAAGTCCGATAGAGAATGACATCTTCCCAGAAAGTGATGTGCCACCGGTCTATCTCTATTAAGCCGGTTGTCCGCCATGTGTTCCTTTATCCTTTCCTTGAGTGTACGCTCCGTCTCTCCCACACATACAGATATGTCACATTTCAAACACGACAGGCAATTTATAATATTGCGGGTTTGACAGGTCTGCCCATCTAGTGCCCTATATGTAGACTGGTAAGAAGTATCGATAGTTGTTTCTGTGAGTCTATCACACACATCAAAGTCGGACGTACACTTATCCTTTGCTACCTTGAAACAGGGCTTCAACTTTCCATGCACCAATATGTCTGCTCTGTTTTTGTCTCTTCTGTAGCTGACAATCCGTAGCATTTCACTGATGTCTGGCAGCTGCTTGCAATATCGTAGGAGCTTCTCTCTATTCATCTGATCTACCTTTTGAAGTTGGGTCTCAATTCCTTTTTCAGATACCCTCTTTTCCTTAACACCGGCTTTATTTGTTTTTAGTGTAGTCGTCTTCTTTTTGACAGATCCGCTTAAACCGAATACCTAGCCCATATGATATCGATCTCTTCATTTGTGGTTGGTGGGCAGAACTATAGAGAAGATACAGTTGTTTGTCGGTCGGTTTCCTGTACTGATCCGTCACAGGCACCCCGTCCCTACTCTTAAATTGGTGTCCAGGAACTCTATCTCTCGCTCACTGTGTCGGAGGTCGATCTTGATGCTCCTGTTGATGCTGTTTGCAAAATTAGCGAACCCTGTCAGCTTGTCAACACCATGCGTCCATACATAAATATTTACATTTGGTGTGGCAAAGCCCTTCTATATTACTACTAAAGTACTGCCAAAAGCAGCTTCATCTTATGAGACTATAACTGAAGTTGGTCTTTGCACCTCCGAGCGACTTAACAGTGTCACTACTGAACTTGTCGGTATCTTCTGCTTTGATCCCTTACACCAGCTGCCTGTCTCAAGTGTCTGTGAGATCAACAAACAATTTTAAGCCTGGACTTTTCACCAATTCAACCTTCTCCGGTTGCACGATCAACATCAACAACATGCCGGACTGCAAATATAACTCTGACCTGATAACTGCGGGCTTCCGTTGAGTGCGTGCGCCGGATATAGGTCGCAATAAAATCGGAAAATGTTTTACGACACTTGATTAGTTACTTACAAAACGTCATTTGTTACTATTTATGAATCGAGAATATGATATATATATATAAATCAAAATCAAATGAATTATTAACGAAAGTTGCGGAGTCTTTTCAATTTTGTATGGGAAATAGCGCATGACGCCAGCTGTTATCTTTGTGCCGTTCTAGATACTGACCTGCCCTGACGGTAATAAGCGGGAAATTTGAAATTTGGAAAAGACATAATTTTTTTTGCGAATTCTTATTATGGAAATATAAAGATAAGCAATAAACTGCATAGATGTGGCAGCCCAACTGGTATAACTGCCACATGTGTCACAGACAAACTGAATGGTGCGCGCTACAGTTTATTGCTTAAATACCATCATCTATGAACCGGTTGTACAATAGTGGTAGGAGGTCCGACTAACTAAATTCCTCATCCCATTAACGCATGTAGGAACATGCGGAAGACTTTCCAAGCTTTGCCCCAATTGTAACCCCGTCCGTTAGTATAAATTGTTTGTCTCCGAGCTGAAATACTCTAATGCTGTCTTTATCATACCAAACACTGTATCTGTAAAATATGTTTTATCTGACCGGCTGTCAACTCCTTCTTTGCAGGCCAGCAACCCTTCAAGCTTCGGGACCGAAGGATATATAGCTCACGAAAATCAAAGCAAAAGAGCAGAGAGCCTGGTGGTAATGGCTTTTGAACCTCTTTCAATCTATTTAGAAAGTCAGTGGTGTCTTTGAGATAACTCGGCGTTGAAGTCATATACTCTGTTAGGTCAAACTCAGCTACTTCTGCAAGCCTCTCAGTTGGTGACCCAATACCAATGGTTCTGAAAGGATGTTCTTTTTTTGTGCAGTTCAGGGACTCCAGCTCGTGGGTTTCGAGGTATCGGGTATTTCTTCATTTCCACCGTAATTAATCCATCTTTATGCATCTTATTGGCCATGTTTTCAATCTAACCACAGATTCATCTATCCTATCGTTGAATGCACTTTTTCCGGACCAGGGTTTGAAAGTTGATTTTAGTCAATTTGAGTGTGCTGCTTAAAATGATCTGGGATGAACCTTGGCAAAATTTTGACTAACCTGGTCAGAATCGAAAATTTCTATTTATTTCATTTATCAGCAACATAACACGCTAAGTGTAAGTGTTCGGTCGGAAAATGGTTTATCATTTGTTCGCAGCCAAAACACAGATAATTGCAAGCTGACTGCATAGGGAAAGATCAGGCAGACATCCTTGAAGGTAAAGTTGTAAAGGTTTTATCTTTAACGATTGCAAATAAAATAAAACAACAATTGTCTGAAATATCTAGTCAACCACATACTCATTTACAGCTGAGTAGACTGGAACAAGCAGTGTAAAGTATCTTGTTCACAGATATAACACAGAACATTGGTTGTTTTTATTTAATTCGCCATTGTTAAAGATCAAACCTTTCCAACTTAACCATTAAGGATGTCTTCCTGATCTTTCCACGTGTTTGTTTGAAATCAGCGCGTTCAATCATAAAGTGTTCGACTGTACAGTATGATGTACTGTCTATGAAAAGATTATTCGATACGGTTTCTGTGTAATTAATATATGATTATTTACACTCTATTGATCTTTACAATAAAATATGATATATTGTGCAGCCAATTTGTTCGATATTGATGTATTCATTTAATCCTTTACATAGTCTAAGCTATTAAGTTTTGGTTTGATGTGTTTATGTTCGTGAATGTCTCATTTTACACTGTTGTTGGCCCTTAATGACTCGCAATGTCGATGGGCCGTTAAACAATACAAACAAAAAACAAAACAAAACAATTAATCGGGTGCAAACAAATGATAAAACTTTTTTAGACCGAACGCTTACACTTAACTTAGTGAGTTATTTTCCTGATAAATGAAATCCCTGACCTTCAAAACATACATTTAGACCCCAAAATCATTTAAAACTGACATTTAGAAGCAAAGATATTTATTTGTTTGAAATAACAGATGCCGGATGGCGGCCATTTTGAATTTTCGCGTCTAACCGAGTTAGCCCAAATTTTCATGAAGTTCATCCCAGCTCATTTTAATCAGCACACTCCAATTGACTAAAATCAACTTTCAAACCTTGGTCCAAGAAAAGTGGTCACAGGACCCCATTGTGGGAACCTCACTTAATTGTTCTCATTTTTATTACAAATATTGCTTTAAATCGGTTTTATTATTGCGAAAAGAAGATGCATTTCCGGTAATAGAAATAGATATAGACACTTACCATATATCTGTGTATTGCTTGGTGTATCAGTATGTTACTGTAGATATTCATTTATATATTTGTAAGAGTTATAAAAGTCATCTTTTTACTAAATCTCTACGACGGTATGTAAATTGAGTTTAAATGCCACTGTTTATAAGGTTTTGGGTTTATCAGAATGGTCGATTAGTTGAAACCGAAACTGTATGATAATATTCTAAGGATGAATTCTACTCTGAAGACATGACGAGCTTCATCTCCCAACATTTCAGATTCAGTATCTGCATCCACCAAAGATTTGTTCATAGGTATTAGGAAAACATGATGACAAGCGTCACTCATTTAAAATCTAACCCTTTTTGGACACCTGGTTTCACTTCAAATGTTTTTTGGCAATTCTTGGTGTCGTTCCTTTTCTTTACATGTCTTTAAAGGATAGGTTCTCGTCATATCTTCTCTTGTTTTGTGTTACGATATAGAAAACTTCATCATGCCAAAATATCATTATTTCATTTGGTGTATTTGACTTCATTGTTGTTATGTTTTATTTTAATTTATTTCATTTTTTTAAAATCTATCTTACCTTGTATTCATCGATAAATCTTGCCTGATCTCTGGGTCTCTTGCTCTCATGAATGTGGCGGAATGTATTCTGAAAACCCGTCTTTAGACCGAGTGGATGTATTGTCTGGAAATAACAGAAATGTCAATATTTATTTTTATCAAACCTGCTCACTGTAATAAGAGGAATGTGGGGAAAATCATCATTCTAGCATTAGCTATTGAATCTGACAAAACGAGGACTAAATATCGGTAACTGTTTCAAAAAAAGTCTTTTTTCTTGGCCCCTCCTAGCAAAACAAGTTTGCGGGGTTGATATTCGGCGTATATTTCATGTCTTCAAATCTTAATTATAATCTGGTCGTATATTGGAATGGACTGCGTTGTTCGTCCGTCCGTTCGTTAATTTTTAGCTCACCTGCCCGTTCTCAACTTTTCCATTAAAACTACTTCTTTCACTTACCTTTTTGGTTTGGGTACTGATATTGGGCCTGTAGCATGCTGGGATAAAGGGCTACCAAGCGTGAATCATTCAAATGAATGGCCTTGACCCACTTTCAAGGTCACAGGGGTTAAATGTCTTAAAATCTTCAAACGACTTCTTCTCAATAACCAAAATTCCCCAGGTACTGATATTGGGCATGTAGCAAGCTGGGATGAAAGGCTTCAAAGTTTGTTCAAATGAATGACATTGACCTACTGTCACTGGGGTCAGATGTCTTAAAATCTTCAAACGACTTCTCAATAACCAAAAGGCCCAGGGTACTAAATTTTGGTAAGAAGCATACTGGGATGGGGGGCCATTTCCAAGGTCACAGGGGTCAAATATGTTAAAATCTTCAAACAACTTCTTCTGAATAACCAAGAGGCCTAGGGTGATGATATTTGGCTGGCCAGTAATATGCTGGGATAAAGGGCTACCAAGTTTTACAAATAAAAGACCTTGACTTATATTCAAGGTCACAGGGGTCAAATATGTTTAGAATCTTAAAGCAACTTCTTCTGAAAAATTAAGAGGACTCGGGTAATGATATTTGGCCAGTAGCATGCTTGGATGAAGGGCGACCAAGTGTGTTCAAATGAATGCCCTTAAGTTATATTCAAGGTCACTGTGGTCAAATATGTTTAAAACCTTTAAACAACATTTTCTTAATAATCAAAAGGCCTAGGGTGGTGATATTTGGCCAGTAACATGCTGGGATGAAGGGTACCAAATTCGATCAAATAAATGACCTTGATTTATATTCAAGGTCAAAGGGGTCAAATATGTTAAAATCTTCAAACAACTTCATCTGAATAACCAAGAGGCCTAGGGTGCATATATTTGGCCAGTAACATGATGGGATAAAGTGCTACCAAGGTTATTTAAATGAATGACCTTGACTTATATTCAATGTCACTGGGGTCAAATACGCTTAAAACCTTTTGAACTACTATCCTCTGAATAACCAAGAGACCTAGGGTGATGATACTTGGCCAGTTACATGCTGGGATGAAGGACTACCAAGTTTATTCAAATGAATGACCTTGACTTACATTAAAGGTTGCTGGGGTCAAATATGTTTAAAACACTTAAACAACTTTTTATAAATAGCCAAGTGGGCTAGGGTGATGCTATTTTGCCAGTAACATATACCAAGTTTGTTTAAATGAAACACCTTGACGTGTACAAACAACTTCTGAATAATCTAAAGGTCCAGGGTAATGATATTTGGCCAGAAGCATGCTGGTATGAAAGGCTATATACAATTTGTTCAAGTCAATGTCCTTGTTTGACTTTCAAGGTCACATGTGTCACATATTTAAATCTTTTAACAGGTTCTTTTGAATACTGGTATTTTGCCTGTAGCTTTATTTGAGATAACAAGTGTAAGATTAATACCAGGTGAGCGATTCAGGCCCATTGGGCCTCTTGTGTGTTATTTTACATGTGTCGTTTTGGGTCATTTAACAAGCACCGAAAACACCATTTCTAAATTTAAGAAAATTCTGATAGAAAGATCAGCTTATATGTGTAGGTATAACATAGAAATATTTAAAAAAAAAATAAGTGTATATGTTTAAACACGAAGCCGTATTTATTATTAAGCCTTTTTTTCAATTTACACCAACCACGATTGTCATCGCACCACGTCCGTCCATCGTTCGCACAAATGTGCGCAAGCAATAATCGTCGAGATTTTAATCGTTCGCACATCGTGCACACTCCATGCGCACACCGCACGCCGTGTAACGTTGTGTGTTTTCGCAACTGTACAAAATAACCAACAACTTGGTCTGTTATTGTGCATGTTTACCTTTTAGACTGACCTGATAAACAAAATGGACGACATGCGACCATCTTGGATTTTTGGCGTGAATTTTTGTTATTGCTATTTCTAAGGAAGTTTTTGAGGGGTCTTTCTCAATTTCGATATATACATTAATGTAGGTTATTATTGGTCTGTTATTGTGAATGTTTTCTTTTGAGACTTATCAGATCAACAAAACGGCCGACAGGTGGCCATCTTGGATTTTGACAGTGAATGTTTGTTAACGCTATTTCCCAGGAAGTTCTGGAGGGATCTTTCTCAAATTTGATTTCTAGGTTCCCCTTGGTTTGTAGTTGTGCATGTTTACTTTGGAGAGTGATTTTAAAAACAAGATGGCCACAGGAAGTACTAATGAGATCTTTCTGATATTACAATGATTTGATCTTTTTCTCTTCCATTTAAAGAATGTACTAGCTAATATGTGAAATGGTGCATTTAGTATTCACATGACTTGGTCAAGCAGATCAGAAAAAGAGAAGAGAAAAGATCAAAATGACATAAACTTATTAAGATGGTACAATAGTGGGCGCCAAGATCCATTTATTTGTTTATTTTCAAAGTATTTTCCACATTACAATAACATATACATTTCATTATACATAATGAATTCCACTTTCACACATACTTTCATACTAATTAATATTGCTCTTTTTTAACTGGTATTTTATTTTTTTGTAATGTTATATAAGAAAGGTAGGAACATCAGATAAGAGAAACAAGAAAACAAAGCATAGTGGAAATAAAGACAGGTAAATGGACAGAAAGAAAGACAGAAAGACAGAAAGACAGACAGACAGACGGAAAGATTAATTTTTAAACAATTCCTTTTAATTTTTTTAGGGTAATGCTGAAAGCAATAATATTCAACATATGTTACAGGTTTTTCTGTCGAGTTTCAACGTTCAGCGTTTTGGTATATCCCACTTGACCAAACAACGCTGTTCATCGTTTTAGCCGTGAACTTTTGCTTGTTTACGCGATAACTCAAATAATTTTTCTTCAATTGTAGTCAAAATTGGTATGATGTTTCATTACCTGAAATCATTGTGTAGTAAACGCAAGAACCTTTTTGATTTTTTGATAAAAAAAATATGGTATAGTAATGCCAGAAGCAAAAATAATTAACATATATTACGGATTTTCTGTCGAGTTTCAACTTTCCGCGTTTTGGCGTATCACACTTGACATAGCAACACTGTACAGTGTACTTTATTTTTACCGTTAACTTTTCCTTGTTTACACGATAACAATCGTTCTCCGATTTTTTTCAACTACTCGGTTGTTTCATTACCTGAATGCTATGAATGAGTTCTAAAATCGTGACATTTAAATGCTATTTGGCAGAGTTATGCCACTTTTTCATTGCCAAATAAGTGCATTCCATCGAAAATGCAAAACTTTTTAATTATTTGTTTAATTCCTAACCAAACATGTTGAAAATAATAGGTTTTGTTGTCGCGCTCCAACTTCTCATACCAAAACTCCTTCCTCAAAGACAAGGTTCTAGTTTTAGTAATAGCAACATTGACCACGAAAGTGTAATTCTGAAACACAAAATCGCTTATGCCATAAAAACAGTAAATGAAGGACAAGGTCATAGTCACCAACTTGGAAGTTAACACATTCTATCATATGTCACTAGCTGCTTCTATATATCAATACCCTTCCGAGGGTCTGACGGGCGTATCATAATTCCGCTGCTCTTGTTATCTCTGTATGGTTATTACTAACTGTGTAAGTGGCTAAATGAAAACATGTACAGTTTTACAGATGACATTTTTATCAATTATATTAGCTATACTATTTTCTACAGAAAGCATGCCACTGTCTGTCATATATTCTAACTGATGTAGGGTTATTAGGTTACATAACGTTACACGATGGGCGGTGTGCGAACGATAGAAAACTTGGCGATTGATGCGTTTAGTTTGTTTGTTTGTTTGTTTGATTTTGTTTAACGTCCTATTAACAGCTAAGGTCATTTAAGGACGGCCTCCCCTGTGTGCAAGATGCATGCGTGTAGTGTATGTGTGTGTATTTTGGGAGGCTGCGATATGTTCGTGTTTGTCTCCTTGTGATAGCGCGGAACTGATGCCGACTTTATAGTGCTACCTCACTGAAACATACTGCCGAAGACACCCAGCAGGACGCCCCACCCGGTCACATTATACTGACAACGGGCGAACCAGTCGTCCCACTCCTAATTTGCTGAGCGTTAAGCAGGAGTAGAAACTACCATTTTTAAAGACTTTGGTATGTCTCGGCCAGGGGACAGAACCCAAAGCCTTCCTCACAGGGGCGAACGCTCAACAAATGGCCAAAAGTGAGGCATTGTCAAGGGAGACATTAGGAAGAAGAAAGTTATTTAGAAAGGAGAGAAGAGATAAGGTCCCAAATTTAGTCGCCTCTTACGATCATGCAATTGGGGGCAGCAGGTACAATTCTTACGCATTTAGAACGGTGTGCGATAGCAATCGAGGTTAATATAACTATTGAAATGGCTATCAATAAGTTCTGTTCGATTTTAAAGCCGTTATATACCTGATTTTAAAGAATGTTACCATAGCTAGATATGTAGGTATATCTACCTTTTATTTTGCCAAAATCGAAATTTAATCATATACATGTATTGACCCATTAAAAACGTTATTTCGGGAGATTACAATCCGTATTCCAATTCATCATCACTAGACGAGTCGTCGTTTTAAATAGTTGAAAGCTGGGTTTTTTCCTGTTTCAGTAGCTTTCTTCATTCTTCTTTTATCTCGGAATATTCTAATCTCTTTGTCGTTGATCGCTCACAGACAGTGTCATTGGTCAACGATGGTCAGTGAAAATTCTGCCTGTGGTTAACCGTAGCCAAGGATTTGTATTGTTTTTAATCTTAGGTATATCCTCATTGTATTAATTATCTGTATTGTTATAATGTAAGCGATGCGTGTTTTATGTCTCGAAAACGAGCACATTGCTCCGAAAATGTTATAACTTTATATTCTTTACACTGTTGGTATTACTTTCTTGCCTCACATACAAATGTTATATTATTCGTATCCTAAAAACATAGTTACGTTTGTAGGGTTCCGATGTTGACGTGGTCGTAGGTTACCTTAAATCCATGATGCAAGATCCTTAATGCCAGATCGTCATCTTCTGCGCCCCATCCCCAAAACTTATTAGACATACCGTTTACCTGTAAAGTGAGATTTTTTTAAGGTTTTAGCAAAAGACTTTCATTGGTAGGACTTTAACCATGAATCTCTTCTTACAATACCTTCCACATTTTAACGTACATTATTGTGTTGATGCAATGCTAAAACCATATAAAACAATAACAAACATACCTTCTCATACTGTTCTCGAGTCATTAACAGTATTCCTCCAGTAAATTCCGAGTAGTGATATAAGGGATGGAGTTCAGGGGAAGATACGTGGAACGGTCCTTCAGACGGGAAGCTGTAGTTCAGCTTTGGATTAAGTGGCAGTAGATCAACATCGTGTATCGCAATGTAGTCACAGTCCGGATGTCTTTCAAGAAACCCTATGTTAACCAGTGAAGCTCGGTTGAATCTAAAGAAATTAGGCCAAGGTATATATTCCAGCGTATATCAGGGTGATATAGGTTGAGTTTTGATATATACCAATTGCCAGCACAAATTTCGAAAACTCCAAACATAACTTCGTCTGTGATTCAACAAATTCTGTTTGGTTTCATGTCTCTCCAAGAAAAGTATCGATCAAAAGCAAGGTAATTAGGTAACCATGAACTACATGTAATATCTGAGTATCATATAAATATATCCTTTTCATTAGTAACCAACAATAGTTCGAGGCTGTCCGTATAAGAATGATAAGAAACAATCATGTTCAAAAGGAATTGACCCCAAAATCAAATATTTACATTTGCTCTGCATCATTCCGTTGTAATGCATTGAGACTATAACAACCTTTGCTATTGTAACGTCATCATTATCTATTGTAACGTCATCATTCTCTATTGTGACGTCATCATTCTCTATTGTAACGTCATCATTCTCTATTGTCACGTCATCAATCTCTATTGTAACGTCATCATTCTCTATTGTGACGTCAGCAATTTCATTGATGGCAACACTTGATTTGTTGGTCAAAAACTGTTCGAAATAACTAAAAAAAAGCATAACTACTTATGATTGAGAATTATGATCCTATAATGATATCTATTGCTGACAACTGTGCGATTAGGTACAATTTGTTGATCAATATAACGGAATGAAATAAATACGGAAAGCTCGTTTGCAATACTGTGCATGTACACTGTATATATTACTGTGATTTACAATGCGTGTTACACAGTATTACAGTGACCGTTAGACTGTCAAGAATGGGTTTGGCTCCTAGGTAACAGAACAGGTAAATAACATTCTGATGAGTGACCGGAGTTTTACCTGGCCTGTGCCTGACAACTATAGCTGATTGGTGATGCCGTATGACCGTTATGAAAACACAACTGGCCAATTAGTATTTGTTATTTGCATTCGGTTTGGCTTATAGATCCCCTTCACCTGGATTTTCACACCCCGGTGAGTTACGTAAGTGCCACGGGCAGGGACAAGTACGGTCCAGGTTCATGAAAAAAGTAGCTACACGGTATGTTTACCTGTATACGGGAACTGTGTTATAATTTTACATGTCTGTTAAGGTCGTTCAAAAAACACCGAAAACACCGTTTCTAAATTCAGGAAAGTATAGACATAAAATGTATAGATAAGCTTATAGATGCAGCTAGTATATAGAAACATACTTAAAAATCAAGTTTATATGTTAAAACACGAAACCGTATATATTGTTAAGGCGTTCCTCAATTTACACCAACCACGATTGTTATCGAACAACGTTCGTCCATTTTTCATCGTTCGCACATCGTGCACACATCGTTCACACATCGTGCACACACCGTGCGTCCTCCGCACCTCGTGTAACGTTGTGCGGTCCCACAACTGTACATACAGCCTACCTGGCGTTTGTCATCAATGTGTGTTATAGGACCGTAACAACATTTGCTAAAAAAATCGTTGTTTAAATAATACTAAGAACGGGTACTTTTTTGCATATCATTGCATGAAAGAGTATGTTTTCTGTTATTCTAATTTAATCTCACCTGAGGTCATCTACTTGGTTGATCACATAGATAGTGTAAGGGATTCTTTGGTTGTTGAGGAATTTCATCATGTGGGGTGCAAACTCCTTTAATTCATTAATACAGTTTCTAAACGGTACCAACAACGCCATCTTGTGAGTTTTGTCATATGTCCTGCTATTCCGTACTTCCTTAAATTCTGACATTGTTGATACATGTCTGTCAAAAATGACCTCAATGGAGAACCATATCAAAACAGATAAAACTGCTGCGCCAACTAAGAATCGGCGCCCAAAAAGCACCTTCTTCATAGATTCGGGTGTGTTTATCTATATAACGAAACAAGAAGTGGGAAATGATAAAATGAAATATGAAGGAAAGCTGTTCGTTAAATGGTAAACTGTTCTGATACTGTATCAAATGACTATGACATGGCTTTTATCTTTTATTTTCTGTGGTAATGAAATGGTCTTAAGTATGGCAGGTAAGTCACCGACATGTTTATTTATTTCTATTCAAAATGATTTCCAAAGTAACACAAATGAATGGTACACAATGATTAATGCACTAAAAAAAACTGGACATTTAGAAATTATTGCATAATGACAAAACATAGTCATCTAATAAGCGTTCAATTAGTTCAAATGTTTTTCTCTTCATATATAACATATTTAACGAAACTAACAGCTTTAATATTTACGGGCCTTTGGCAAAATGAAATTCAAACAAAGCATGAATGCATAATGATGAGTTAAACACGTCAACAAAAAATGTTAATAGAGTGAATGTCATTTTTATCATATAACGCTATAGTGATAAAGATTACCGTATTAAACATTTCCCGTTGCAATATTTATAAGTTGACGTCAATGTTTTGAGGATGAATAACGGTCATATGAATCTGCCTTATTGTGACGTCATAAGTGAAGTTACATCATGTATTGTCAATGAGAACCTGTATATTACTGTACACATATAACGCAAAGACATCTTCAATACATACCTTACGATCATACAACCTTCTTCCAAGTAGATAACTGTATAACTGCAGCACAAGAACGGGTTAAGGAATTTGGCTCATTTTTTACTTTTTGTAAAAATAAGAGAAACCACCCATCAACGATCAGTAGAAACCTCTCATAACTGGTGAGAATTGTAATGAACTGACCAGTCACGTGGTACTTGTGACATCATATGAGCGGGCTTGGGTCACTGGTCCATATAACAGAAGCTAGGGTTCAGGAGCTACTGAAATATAGGTGTAGCTCCTGTCTGATTGAGTGGTTTTACTGCCGCTTCAAAACCGAGTATGGTTAACCGAACATTTCGGTAGGGAAGCGGAAGTAAAACCACTCAATCAAGCAGGAGCTACACCTCCTATATATTTATCATTGGTAACACGTCCGACATTTTGCCAAAGGCCCGTAAATATTAAAGCTGTTAGTTTCTTTAATATGTTTTATATGAAGAGAAAAACACTTTGAACTAATTGAACGCTATTAAAAGATATATTGAGTTTAAATCAAAGGGAAATAAATATATTACATTAATAAATGCACTTGTATCAGATGTTATGTTGTTTTTGTTTTATATTCACAGTATTATATTTTAGTTTGTGAAAGCAGACCACTTTTCAAACAAAATTGTAGGAGAACAGCATAACTTGCCTATAGGTATTTGATAGTGTTATAAGATAGCAGCCAAGTATCAATTAATTCATTTGCAACCTTGCTCACCCCCAACATGTTTCAAGGTATTCTGTATTTCCGAAGGATTAATTAATGTGTCCCTCAATTTATTGCCATATCCCTTTATAATGCCAACATTTCTTTGATCAAAATGGGGCAATATAAGGAGGTTTTGCTGTACCTCATCATGTTGTACATTTCTAAAGAAAAGATATGACCAGACATTGTAAAATAGTCAACAGCCTATTGATGGTGGTGATCCAACTTTAATCTTAAACTTGCCCAAAAACTTTAACCAAGTCCAATTAACCAGTTTTGGCCCCTAAAATGTGAAAAAAATGCCCCTTAAATATAAAAACATGGTTTGCTTTCACTCTATAAGAAGACTTCCACCTTATAATAAACCTTTTTTTACTGTCTGGAGAAAACTTGCCCAAAAATTTTAAACTGATTGAAAGTATTAAGGATGGACAACCACACCATAAACAAAAAGAGATTTGAACTGCCCATACTGTAATGATAGTGGGCTAATAAGTATAAACATAATTTACATTCAAATAATCTTTAAAAGTACAATTTTCAACAAATTTATAAACATGAATTAAGTCAATTAAATAGTTATAAATATAAGCCTCAATAAGGTCTCCATTTGTAGTACAACAAACCTTTGCTGATCTCTTAGTTTTCTGAATTTTCTGAAATCTGGTAATTAGAAGATGAAAAAGTATAGAAGATATGCCCTTGACAAACTACAGGTGAAAAAGTATAGAAGATTATTTAGAGGTTATCATATGAACGTTTTCATATCCTACTGTATACCAGCCACAGACTCCAATATCAGCCCAATGGGCAAGTAGTTCGTGGGCTGATATGGGTCGAGTAGGATATGAAAATGGTCATATGGTTAAAATTTGGATAATGTCAGATATGGATATGTAGTAAATAGATATACCATAAAGATAGGTAAAATTTTGAATTATTTGAAATTTTATTTGAAAACTAATGATAGGAGACAAAATTGAGGCATATATCTATGCTTACTTTGAAAGGGAAATGGCTAAAAGAAAATTTTGTCATAGATATCCCTCGCTCAACAGATAAATCATGATATTATACATACTTTTAATATTACAGGAGGCCCAATGGGCCTGAATCGCTCACCTGGTATTATTCTCACACTTGTAATCTTAAAAGTGGACTAATATACAGCTACAGTTACAAAATATCTGTGTTCGATACATTATAATTTGTTTAATTATTTAAACAAATGACGCCTGTGACCTTGACAGTCGAACAAGGACATTAAGTTGAACAGAGTTTATAGCCTTCCGACCCAACATGCTTCTGGCCAAATATCATTACCCTGAACCTTTTGAATATTCAGAACAAGTCGTTTAAAGATTTAAACATATTTGTCCCCTGTGACCTTGAACATGGGCGAAGGTCATTTGTTTGAAAAAACTTGGTAGCCCTTTATCTTAGCATGCTATTGGCCAAATATCATTACCCTAGGCCTCTTGTGCATGCAGAAGAAGTTGTTTAAAGGTTTTTACAAATTTAACCCTATGACCTAGAATATGAGTCAAGGTCATTTCTTTTCACATACTTTGTCAGGCTTCATCCTAGGAACCTATCAGTCAAATATCAGATCTACAAGACATCAATATTACATTGAAAAATATCAGTAAGTCTACATAGACCTTTTGCAATATTTCAATATAAGACGTACATCAATTATTTACATATAGACCTATTAATGTTGATAATTTTAACTAATGCTGAGCAAGGGATAACTACAATGATCAGACAAGATTGACAGCATTCTGTCTGTTTTGTATCATTAGCATGTAAGCAATATTCAGCTAATGAGACAAAGCAGCTAGAAGGCTGACAGTGTCTTGCTGACCTTCGAAATTTTCAAGAATTTTCTTTAAAAGGGTGATCTATAGATCGGTCTTAACCATCTCCCTCTCAAAGTAGGCATGCTGAATTGTATATACATATTCAGCAGTTTTCTTCCTCTTCTGCCTGTCTGTGGCCTGCACCTCTTTTGTTCGGCATTTGTGATCAATGGAATGTAAAACTGAATTTAACACACACTTATGCTAATGCCAAATTCTTAGGTAAAATTACTTACATAAAATAGAAAAACACAATTTAAGATACACACCATTTAAAGTTTAATCCTCAAAGGTTGAAAGTGATCAAAAAGATGCAGTTACATTTTAATAATAATCTTTAAATGTACATGTAACCTATAGAATGTAAAGATAAATATATGCAAATGCATGATAATGATTTAATGTTTTTGTCCGTGGCATTCTAACATTTCACATATCACTTTACCAATCAAGGTAGAATTTCAGGAGAAATATTTTATTTTATATGTATGGTTATATTGGCCAATTTTCATATATAAGGTCAGAATACTGATTGACAAATATATATAATGCATGCCCAATTTCGCATCAAAGTTATATACAATAATCAAAATTGCAAATAATCAACAAGTCAGTCAAGACAATGTTTAAGAAAAATGATCCATGTAATATACTAATCAAAGTTTGTACAAATGTTCACTGAAGTTGAATATTCATTTTTACAACAGATGCATTATATTTTAGCAGCTAGATGTATTTACCTCTGCATCATCAGCAAACAACTGACCAGGAGGAAGTTCTGTAATCCTCCTGATGGCTTCATCCCAGGACCTCTCTATTCTGGTTGCACTGCGGTTATGAACTGTTCAGGCACAAAGATAACTCTTACAAAATGTACAAGGGAGTGTAAATATGAAACAGACTATAGCTTTAGTCTCTAAAAAATAACATTATATTTATTATATTTATGCCTGTATAACAGGAAAAAGCCAGCAGACGTTACGTATGAATATAATAAACTGTTTTCGTTGTTGAGAGTATGATTTGCATGGCCATAAGGGGCACTTCAAAATGTCTGCTCTACCTCGTGGATGGTATGCAGAATGTTCTTTAAACAGAAAAGTCATTTTACAGGAATGACATACTCTCACATGTTGTTACAGGTATGTCAAATTGGCAAATACAGTGGATAGGAATAATTTAACCTTCGAACATTTTGTCTTGAATGCATATTACTTTGAAATGATTACCATGCTATATTTAGATTTTGATGGCCGATACCACGTGACTATTGTTGTCACAGACGCTTCAATATGGCAGCAGACGACAGGTTAGTTCTGAATAGAATAGAGAACCCTATTCGTTTGTATACATCAGTAGATCATTGCTGGTGGCGAGTGAAAAAACAAACCAAAATCTGTTATGAGCAGCTAGAAGTTTCTGTTTTCATTAAAATAATTACTTTATTAGACATAAATTGTAAAATTTGCACTGATCCATCTGTTACGGATGTGTTTACATCACTCCCTCCGTTACGGATGTGTTTATTCTGCTAGATGTAGGATCTACTGTCGGGGAAATTTAACGAAATTATGACGAAAATTTCCACAGTTAACATTGTTATAGATCGAGGAAATGATAAGAAATAAATATGCTGTATGTTACACAGAAAACAACGGAGATGATTTTGGTATTTGGCATGCTAATTAATTGTGTACAGTAGATGAAAGAACTTTTCCTATTTACTGAAATGATTGCAAAGTTACTCAGAGATTTTGAACATACTAAACAAAAAATATATGTGTTTAATCGTTACATTTCCAGACAATTTTGAACATTATAAACATACCATCAAGCTGATTAACAGCAGACTCCTGTCCACCAGGGACTCCAATAAATGATGCGGTGTCCTGCATCGCATCAACAATCCTTTCTTCTGCTACGCTCAACGCAGCAGGTGGAGGCCCGCCTCCAGTCTTCTGTCGCTCAAGGCGATTACTGGTAAATTTTTCTTTCGCACAGCGACTCATGTTCCGCCAGCGGTTTCTTACCTCTTCTTCTGACCTGCAGGCTACCCCCAGGACATTCACCTCTTCTGTCAAGGTCTTCCAGATGTCCTGCTACTGGGTATTGGTCAAATCATTAGAGTGCCTGCCTCTCACGATGTCCAGCATCTCTGTAGCCCTGCTACTGATCACCTACTTTCTAATGATGTAAAATTTGGTTTCCTTTCCCTCTCCTTGTTGCTTACTCCAGCCATGTTGGAAATGGAGGGAAAGGTGGGGGGAAGTTGGACAAACCAAATGCATTGTGGTAAAAAATGCAAAAAAATGCGAAACTAACTGTCGTTAGTGTTAAACATTTTGTGAAAGTGATTAACTTTTGGCGTTAATCCTTTTGATCAACGGATTTAACGCAGGCGTTAACTTACGCAGAATTAGCGGTTAGCGTCTCGTTAATTTAACGACAAAGTTAGCTTAACGATAGTTTTGAACAACCGGGCCCAGATCTACCTTTTGAAGTTGGCTCTTAATTGCTTTTCCCAGATATCCTCTTTTCCTTAACACCGACTTTATTTGTTTTTAGTGTAGTCGTCTTCTTTT